TTTTAATATTAATTTTAATTTAAATTTACAGTGTGCCACTTATAATAACCTGCTAAATTTTTTTTTAATTATTCTATAATATAAAAACAATTATTATAATTAGATTATTAATAATTTTTGTGTATAACAGGGGTGTATTTAAGAGAGATTGGCCCCTCCTTGAACAAGCGCTAGCAATATTTTTTTAGGCAACTTCTAATATATAAGGACTGAATGTCCTTTTTTTTTCATCAGTACTTTAATTTTAGCAAAAAAATTTCTATAACATGTTTAACAAAGTAAAAAATATTAAATTTCCTCCTAAAATAATTTTTGAATAGGCCTAAAGGGAATACCTCATTAAGAGGCTTCAACCTTATACCCAATACATTTTACTATATTCTCTTTTTGAATTTTCCTGATTTTAATAATAACATTTTTAGATATAGTTTTCTATAGTTTTCACTGATTCTGAAGTAATATTTTTTCTGAAAAACACTTATCGTGCCCGGCGTAGCCGGGTACTTCTACCGGAATCAGTGGCCTACTTATGATAACTGCCCGAAGAGACTTACGCGCCGAAGGCGCGTAAGGCTCGAAGGGCCCCGGGTCTGGGGCGGAGCCCCAGCTAGGCGGAGCCTAGTAGACTATTATTAAACCTAATCGGTATAATAGATTAAAATATAAGTTAATAAGTTATTATTATTTATATAAAATCTAAGGATTTTGAGATAAATAATAATAGTAAACAAAAAAATTGACTTAATCAACCTTCTGGTATAAATGTTATAATGTTCTTAAATAACTGCTAAAATAATGTAATAATCTTATGACATTTTTATCGACACTTAACAACATTACCTTAAAATTGAGTATGGGTATATAATTTCATATTATTTTAACACATTTAATTAGGTAAATGTAAATCAATAAGTCGGTATTTTATATAAGATAACGATTTTTATAACCTTTATAATTTTCTACTAATTAATTCAAATAAATTATTATTTAACTTTAATAAGATAACTCAATTAGACAAGTCCTAACACTGTACGTGGACTACTATTAAAAAACGATTTAGTTAACCATCATTTTTTATACTCTACGTAAAATGTTTATAATAAGTTATAAAAATTGTAGAACATCATTAAAGTAATAATAGTAAAGTTTAGTTTGTAGCTACATTGAAAACCGAGCTCTAATTATTTTTATTGAATTAATTATAAATTATAATTTGTCTTATAGCCTATATGAAAAGGACGAGGTTAGAGCTCTATATGTACTTTTACAATGTCCGATTTTTGAAACTCGATCTAGTGCTCCTATTTTTGCTCATTTACTCAATCATATTGCACATATAAACAAAGATGATCATCAATTATTGATACACTGGTTCAGAATGTAAGTTGGATTTAAATATTAAATAATATAAAAATTAATTTAAATATTAAGCAGTCAATTTATTAAAATATTTAAATTTGAAGTATTAGTAGACTATTATATATATATTTTTTTATTAAAATCAGTCAGATACCGAAGGAGCCACCATTTGAATTTGTTTATCTTGTTTTTTATCGGTCTGAGAATCAGACATATTATTTTCGGCTAAGAGTTTTCTAAATTTCTTCATCATACCTTCATTGTTTTGTATATTCTTAGAAAGAGCGTCAAGATCTATCTTAGTGTCTTCACTATTTCTATTTAACAGTTGGCTTTCATTTGGTTGTTGTTGATAAGGCTGGATAGTATCAAATGTAATTTCATCGTCAGATTTTCCTTTAACATTGTCTTCTGATGACTTTTCTTCAATATTTTTACATCCTTCTTCATTTCCGGTTCTACAAGTAGATGTAGGTTTCAAGTAATTTACAGAACTTACTGCATAAGATGGGCTTGTAATGGCAGGCAATGATGTGTAAGCTACAGAAGCTGGAGCAGCGTAACTTATTGAGGCTGGAGAAGAATAACTATAAGACAATGGAGAAACATGAGTGTACCCAATTGAAGCGGGAGCTGATGTAGAATAGCCTACAGAAGCTGGAGTAGAATAACCGTAAGACAATGGAGAAAATTGAGTGTAGCCAACTGAAGCTGCTGCTGGTAAAGAATATGATGCAACGTTGGATAAAGCTCCTGAGATTGGTGCATAAGGAATACCAGCTCCATATCCAGAAACAAAACCAGAACCATAATCTAATCCCAAGTTGTATCCAGAGTTTGATGTCCAACCAAGAGTGCCAGGTGCGCAATATTCAGTAGTAGTTGTAGTAGTAACAGCATGTTCATATTGGTCAGCCAAATGAATAGTGTTGCCGTGAGCTATTGGATGGTGAACTGTTGGTTGTACTGATTGTTGGTATACAGGATGTTTGTGGATGTGCTGTTGATATCCGTGGTAGGATGGACTAAGACCAATATGCTCAGTGTAAAGTGGTTTGTGGATAACTTGTTGAACTTCTTGTACAACTGGCTTATTAATGATTTCTTCCACCTCTGTGATTACTGGTTTATGTATAACTTCTTGTAGTTCAGTTATGACAGGTTTATGGATAATTTGTTGAGCAATGTTAAGACCACCGTGATGTGGAACATGATTAGCTAATGTTGTGGGGATAACTGGAGCTGGAAAAGATGAACCATAAGATGATCCAGATGCAATAATTGGTCCTGATGCAAGAGGTGATCCTAAACCGTATGTCGTATGTAGTAATCCATTAGATGATACGGCTCCATTAGATACTATTGCAGATGATGGATATGAAACTAATGATTGTACATAAGGTATAGATGGTGCTGAATATGATGAACTAATAATACTAGCAGAAGGGTACACTTGTGGTTTTGGTCCAAATGAGGTGAGTATTGAGTGTCTGAAAACATCATAATTAATTATAAAAGATAAATTATTAATTACATATAAATTAAGCCCTTGAATAAATTGATTTATTCAAGTGCAATAAATGATTTATTTTAGTAATGATCAATTAGTGATAATATGATGAACAATCATTAATAAGAGTATATATATATGTTTTATAAAACTTATTCATTACAATTTTTTTAAATATTTTTAATTGTATAAAAATTTACATCTATAGCAATATTATAGAAATTTAAAAGTAAATAATTGCATTGATAATCAGACCACATTTAATTATTTATCTATTATAATAGCCTAAAACAGTAAAAATTGATTATTTAAATTTCACTAAACAAAAATCTTAACAACACTAATAATTAGTGTTGTCAACATTTTTAAAATGATTAAATCAATATAAATAAAACTAAATTTTATAAAATTTTAATATTAATAGTTTATAACTATTTTTTACCTCGATTTTTCGTTCTCTAATAGATTTGTGTTTAATCCGTTTGACATAGTTTTTGGTGTTTCTCCATCAATAGTTGATTTTACAGACGTTAGTTTTTGTTCACTGCGTTCTACTCGAAGTGCATGATCAGAAGCTGATTCATTTTCGATTTTGAGTGATAGTGGTGGACTATGTTCATCAAGTTTTTTCTTAAGGCCATTTTGAGTGTCTTCTGTTGGTTTGGCTAAAACGACAACAGCACACAATAATGCAAAACACAACAAAACTTTCATGGTGGCCCTTTTGCTGACTGCTTGACTTGTTGATTGTTTAACTCGAACAAGTACAACTGGTAAATTGTAGTTACGAACACCGTCTTAAATATACCAGAATGCTAAAAAAGTGTCGTCAGCAAATTTAATACATGTATACAAAAAGTATAGAGGGAAGTTTTTAGGTTGACAAATTAACATGATATAGCTTATTGTTGCTATAATACACAAAATAAAAACTAAACAAATAATAATTATTAAAGTACTATAAACATAAAATAATATACAAATTCTTATTATTGTTTTGCTTAACTGTGATCTACATTAAGCTTTCAAATTATGAAGTTATCAAAAAAATAATTATAAAAATTAAACATAGAGAAATATCAACTGTTAAAAACCAAAAGGCTGTTGAAGCTAAAAGTTAACAAAAAATGTTTTGAACCTACGTTTATAATAAAATGTTAATAATTTATAAATATATTTATTACTATAAATTCAATAGTTAAAAAAGGCGAAAAGTTAAAAATTTCACACACATTTTTATTCAGATTATTATTTAAATATTGTTTTTATGGCTGGGGATTAATTTGTTAAAAAGTTAATTTGATTTAATTAAGTTCAATAGTTTATTATTTTTCTGTACGATTTAACTTTTAACTTAGTTCATTACTTTTTAACTTACATAACGCGTTATCTTCAAATTAATTTAGTATAGTAGTATTAAAATTTAACTATATTTGTATATCACGAGGTAGTTTTTTTTTAATATCCTGACTATACTATTATATATATTATCTTAAATACATATTTTGTATTATGGGAAGAAACAATAATTTTATACAATACTGGTTGGTTTTGAAATTTCTTAGAAGGTGTTCAATAAATAAATATATCACATTGTAAATTTGAAATACTTCTTATTGTGTTTATTATGATAAACCACAGTTCATTTTTTTTTTTCAAGTTAATTTTAACTTGAAAAATTTAAAAAAGATATTTTTGTAAACTTTTAACTTAACTCAATCTTTTTGAAATTAACCTAACTTAACGAATTAAAAAAAAGTGTTAACATGCTTAGCATTATATTTTTATTCGATTTTAAATAAAAACATTTATGTTAGTTCATTAAACTTTGTAGTCAATGTTGTAATCACTGTTTTATGATTAAGTTAATTAATAAATGAAATACAATGTCATGAATAGAATAGAATTATCAAATAATTGAATAGCTTTAGTAATTAATAGTATTATTTTCTTATTTGAAAAATATTATCTTCTGAAAAAAAAAATCTTATTGCCTATTACTATTACCAATGGTTTAAGATATTTACTCTTAATTCAGTGGCGTATTTAGAGGTGTTATTATTTTTATTTTTATTCACTTCTGACCTAAAATAGTATTATAAAGGACGTATAAACATTAATTTAGCCTATAGACGCCACTATACTAATTGTGATAATTTTGTAAATGGTTAAATCATTATGTTTTAAAAATAAATTAATTTGATATCAAGAATTTTAACATAAACATATTTGAATATTTGTTTGATCTGTTTTTTCACATAATTGAATAAACAGAATTTAATAATATCTCACGTCAACCCGATTAATTTTTTGTACTTATTAGAATAAAGAAAACATTTACTTTTTTATTTTTCAAGATTGGAGTTGGAAAAATTAAAAACTTTAATAAGGTACATAATGCAATTTATAACTTTGAGACAATTTTCTCTGGGTGACAAATCTTTACCGCCTATTGGAAAAACACGTTGGTGGATACCATCAGCAACTAAAACGTTAGCTTTAATAAGTAAGTACGTCTATTCAATAATTTTTTTTTACGGCTAAAACTTTATGGTGATAAGTTTAAGAATTTTAATAAAAGTTATTTCATTTTTTTTTTTTTTTTTAATGATATCTGAATACTATATAAAATACTAGAATACTGTTTATATTTTTTATTTCGTATAAACATTAAAATAGATTTACATTGAATGATAAAAACGCAACAAACAAGTCAATTTAAAAGTTGGTTTATATTTATATACTTTTTTTAATTTTACATCAAATATATTTTTTGTAAACTAATATAGTTAAAAATTAAATAACATGGGTTAAAATAGTTAGAAAATTAATAGTTTTATACTAAACAGTAATTCAATTAGTTTATCTTTTTTATCAGTGTTAGACTGTTACTTGGCCATCGTTGTGACCCTTAGGTATTTTCCACTATTGCGGGGTCATGTCTGTATATTACTAAGCCTTTCCATAACCCCCGAAGTGATGAAGTAATACGTCTAGTGATCTCCGATCTATTATTAATGAACTTATCTAGGAAACTTTCCCTCCCTAGAAGTAATTTTAAATTTTGTTATGAGGAGGCTCTAAAAATTATATGCCAGTAGTCCAATCTAATGACGAGTAATATCAAATTATTCGATAGTTATCCAATCTATTCGAATATTTTATCAATGTTAAAATAATTGTATAACTATTATAGTAACCCAAAAAAAGAATGTATATGTAAATGGTAGTTTTCTTTGATTAAAATGATGTATAAAATTAGTTATTTGTTGGTCTTGTATGAGAATGAAAATATTTGAGTTACTACATATTTATTGAATAAAATGATATAATATAATTTTCTCTCGGGATATGAGTACGAGGATTTTATGAAGAGATGTAAAATATAGAAAAGCAAAGTGATGTTTACAAATATATTAATATAACAATAATTTGAAGTAGAAATTATTGTGATTAATTATCATATATAAATTATCAATAACGCCACTCTTACCAGTAGTTATCTAAGCTTGTGATGACTGTGACTCGTGTCAATAAATAAATCGAATAGTATAAAAACCACAAGTGGGTTCGCAAGAGAGTCTTTATTAGTATTGACTACACAGGTAACCCACTTAAAGATTGAACTTGGTTGGCTAACTTTGTACAAACGTTATTGATTTTATTTATTTTTTAAATAATATTTTATTCTAGAGATCAATTAATTTTTCTATAGCCCTACATAATTTATGTACTCATTTTACTTTAAACCTTATAAATTTTCTGTGAAATATGAGTTTACTATAGTGATGTCAGAAGTAAGGTTGAAAAATAAATATACTTCATTTTTTTGTGTGAAATCGTAAATTTATAGAGCCACTTCTTGCACTTGTTAATAATTCATTAAGTAAAGGAGTAGTGAATCGAATTGACAGTTTTTATGCCCTTTTATATTAAATTCAATTCATCTATATGTGCAAGAAGTGTCTCGACCTTTTACTATTATCTGTTTGTTACTTATTATTATTTTTAAATTTAAACTTAATTATTACTAAGTTTAAAATCGCCCCATATATTTTATGATAAAAATTCTATACGCAAAAATTAATTTTTACAATTAGTTTTTTTTTTAAATACTTTAATTAATATTTTAATTTGTATGCATTTTCAGATGCTGCGAATCGTCTTAGACCAGTATTATTTCATTTTACTGAATTATATAACTCGGCTTTAGATCACATTGATCTTATGAATGATTATTACACCTGGCAAACATATGGCCCTAATGAATGTTTTGCCTATTGTCAATACCCATTTATTCTTAGCATTATTGCTAAAAGAGTTATATTGACTAAAGACTCTGAGCAACAAATGATACTTAATGCCAGAAAATCTTTAGTGTCTAAAGTTTCAAGAAGACAAACACCTAACATTGATATTTTTTTCTTAAATATAAACGTCAGACGTTCACATTTAGTGCAAGATTCTTTAAATGAGGTAATAATCAAAAATTAATTTATAATAAATAACACTTCTTTATAACCCTTATTACCTTATAACTTAATCTCAACCTTAACTTATAGTACTAAAAATTTCAATTTAATGCGGCATAAAAAGCACTTAAAAATACTTATTTAGCGCTTAAATATGTAGTAACAACAAGGTTTAAAATGTAAAAAAGAAGTAAATGTGCACAACAATTTCAACTTTTATTACATAAAATTGTATGCAAATTTAGTTTAATACTTGACAAAAAACTAATTTGATTTTAATGATAAAATCAAATTTATAATTGTTAACAAAGACATTTAAAAATTGTTTGAAGTATTATGGACAAAGGCTAAGTCTCAATCATAGTATAAATGTTTTATATCTAATATCTTTTTCGTGTATCGACTAATATTATTGATACCATATTTCTCGGGGCTAAACAAACGTTCACTACCTCAAGCAGGTAAACGTTTTTTACGTTTGAAAAGAAATATAATTTTTTAATTTTTTTGGTGGGGAGTCAAGGTCAATTCTTTATTTAAAGGAACAATTTCAGTTAAATCTTCGAAATTTTTTCTCTTTTAGATGAGAAATAGATTATATTATTATAATAGACTATAGATTATATATATAATTACTGTCAGATATCATTATACCTGATTCAACTTAGCCACGTCACCACTGTGCCGCGACCCCCCCCCTTGTTTTTTTTTTTTTTTTNACTATAGATTATATATATAATTACTGTCAGATATCATTATACCTGATTCAACTTAGCCACGTCACCACTGTGCCGCGACCCCCCCCCTTGTTTTTTTTTTGAGTTTGTTGCTACAATTTCTCAGCACCTTAAATTAATTCACATGAAATAACACCTTTATAGTATTGAAAATAAATAAATTACATTGATGAAAAATTAGAATCGAAAAAATATTTAAGAAAATAATATTACTGTTATACCATTGTGAATTTACGATTTATTTTTTTATCTATATTTTTATAATACATTTAGTTTTCATACTTCTGTAGTTTTGTAACTTAATTGTTTTATTTTAAGTTTCTTTTAAAAGTAACAATATAGTGGAGTAATGTGAAACTAGTAGTTACCAATAAACATTTTTCTTAAGAATTTACGTAATTGTTTGTATAATAATAAAAAACAATTAAAATATCAACTATCTATGTGTAGACAAACTTTATTGTGAGGATTATACTAATAAAAATCACTATGGATAATATTATTCTTGGCAATGTTAAAATTTAAAACATACTAAAACTAAGAGCTATAAAACTTTTGATTTTATCTTAATTATTATATAAACTTTTAAAGATTTAGATTCATGACTTTTATTTTTTATTATACATTTAAAATTTGTTTAGTTCTCAAATATTTAATCTTAATATTCTTAGTCATATTTTACTTATTGACTTTTCTCTAATGACCAAAAAAAAATTTTGTTCGACCTACCACATTGTCTTTTGAGATTATACTTAAGATGTTTTCTAAATATTTTATTACCAATTATCAGTTTTTAATGATTGCTTAAAATATATTACTTCTTCTAAGTATACTCTTTAATGGTTCACAGACCATACCATTGTTGCAATTTTAAAAGAAGACATGGTGTATTATCATTATTGAATAGACATGTTAAGAATTTTACCTTCACAACTACATCCTCATAATGAACTATAATTTGTATGGTGTAATAGGAAATGATTGAATTATTAAATTAACCATAAAAATAATTATATAACAAAATGAATGAATCATGTAACTAAAAAAATTTAGTATTTTGAAAAAGTAATGAAAATAGAAGATATTATGACCATTCAAATTTAATATTAATTTTCCATGTGGCTCAAAATATTTAGAGATAATTATAAATTTTAATTACACTAATAATTTTCTACCAAAAAAATTATCAAAAAATGATTGGCACATTGTCAATTCATCAAGTAATAATCAAATTTGATTTATAATACAGTTGAGGGTTATATTTACTTGTGATATATTACGAAAATATTTTACTTTTAAGTCTACGTTTCATAACACTATAATGCAATAAAAATCGCCGATGCAGAAATATGCATACCACAGTGATATTATTTTTTGTGGTATGGATTGTTTATACTTTTTATATTTAATGTTTAAAAAAAATATTTTCATCTAGTTAGAATTTGTTTTTATTGATTACGTATTATTTGAATTAATTTTTTTTTAATAAAAATATGAAAAATATAATTCAATTTTTAACAATAAGTTTAAAAATTAAAATTTAGTAACATTATTTTAAATATTGAATAAGCTATATTTATTTATGATACTCACTAATAATAAATGTTAAAGATTTTAAAGATTTTATAGAATAATTTATAAACATTTAAAGCTAGTACAAAAAAAATATTTTATTACATAATTTTGTACGTAAATTTAATTTGAAAGTAGGTATTTATTTGTTGAATGTTAATTAAAATTAGTCCACATTTTTACAATTAAACAAAATTGCTCATAATATGCAGCGTCACCTTATAAATAATAATAATTTAAATACTAGATACATTTTTTGCTGTCTGAAATAAAAGGCTATACTTTTATTAATATAACATTATTAAATGTTATCTCGATTGATCCAATTAGACTAACTTAGCTAAGGTTATCATAAAAATTGCATTGTCATGAGACAATATGAGTATTATACGTGTACATGTGTAGCAAGACACAATATTCAAGAAGTACAACCTTAAATTATTTGATTTTTAAACTATTCAAGTTCAACTCACGATTTAAATATGTATTAGAGCATTTTCTAGGTCAAATTTTTTTCAACCCAACCACATTAATTAAAACGTCACGCATCAAAGTAAAAATAGAAAACTTGTTAGTTAAATTAAACAATGAGTGAATATTTTTAACCTTATGTTTGATTACTCTACTTTTTAGCTTCGATACTAAGCTGAGCAGGTATTAATTTTACTATAATGCGTTTATTTGATTATTCTTTTTGTGACTATAAACACTTATACTCACTTTTTTACCTAACTGATTTCTTTCAAAGATACGTCAAAATATCACAAATTGTTACTAGATGAAGATATTACCCCCAAAATTGTAAAAAAATTTACCGTTTCCCCTAATGGGACATTCTTAAAAAAAATTACAATTTTAAATACCAGTAATTTTGGACATTTTTTATACTTTTTTTCCCAATTGGTATATTTTTTTAAAAATCAGACCTCGTACCTAACTACAGGTGGGGATTCAAATGACAACTTTTCCACTACCATTAACTTTTTCAATTAAATTTTTGAAATTTTTCGGGAATGCTATAACTTTTGTATATATCTTATATTAATGCTTATGTAATATACTTTAATTAGAAAAAATGAACATTTTTGTGTAAAACTTATTTTATTAAATCCCCCTGTTGGAAGATAAAGGGTTATATTTTAACATTTATACTATTAACATATAACATATACTATTTGAAAGAGAAATACATAAGGTGTTTATAAAAAAATTCTTTTTTTATTCATCTTTATTGAAAATAATTATTGTAGTTTTAAAAAAAGAAACTTTAACAATTTAATGATTTTAGAAATAGTAATTTTTTGAGGAATTTACACTATTTACAGGGAACGAGGATTTTTTTTCAATTATTTAGGGTAATGTCTTTAATTTGATACGAATTGTTTTTTTAATATATTGATAAAAAAATCGGTTCGGTGAGAGCTGTGATAAAGTGGCGACAGACACTAAGCTTTGCACGAAGCTAAAGAAAATTTATATTTAATAATTATTATTTATATATAGTATATTATGAGTTATAATAAGCTGTAATATGTAAAAAAGCAAAAGTAAATTTAACTTTATATTGTATGTCATAAATGACATACAAAAATTATGAAAATCTAAAGATTTAATATGGTATCCCTTATGAGGTATTTTAAAATTTCAATTTAAATATATACAGGTTTAAAGTTAAAATAAACATTTTTGAAAAAACAAATTAGAGAAAGTGGTCTCCATTCATTGCAAATTTTAAATTGAGAAATATAAAACAAAAATATTTTTAACTAAGGCACGTGTTAGATAAGTTGTGGGGACAATTTTTTTTTAAATCATTGATTAACTTCAATGAATATCTAGACCTCATTACTGTAGTCTCCCCTTATAAGAAGGAATAATTAATTTATATTATAATTATTTTACAATTATGATCTTTATTATAGTACGCCAAAATGAGAAGATATTAATTAATGAAGGCATTTTTTTTATTTTGAAGGGTAATGATAATAAATTTTTAATAAGCATCAGAAAAACAGTTATTAGGGTTTCTATTAAAAATAATTAAAATTATCTATTAAAATTGTTAATAAATTATTTAATTACATATTATTATTACAGGTTTTTAATGAAACAAATTTTTCCTTAACGAAAATTTAAAATACCTAATGTTTTCAAAGAAATATAGTGTATAACGCTTAATCCATCAACTTATGCATACAATTCAGTTTATATAAATTTAACTTAGATCAGCAATTATACTAAACTAAAATGTTATCGTGTTTTGTTTTTGTTTGTATAAGTACTAACTCAGCTCTTACTAATTTCATTTAGTTCAATGATTAGTTAAAGATCAGAAAACGTATATAGTTGAAGCTATCAGTTACGTAATTTTTAAAAAAAATTCTCTATTCTGTAATAGAGGAAAATTTTTTGAAAAATTATAGTTCTTTAAAATTATATTGATATAACTTTTTGAAACGGGGCAGATTATTGTAAAAATTTTATTGATAATTCTTCAGTCATTTGTTTTTTCAGTGAAATACTTTTATTGAAGATCAATTTAAGGTAATGTGAAGGCTTATTTTAGCAAATTTTTTTCTTTTCCGATTTCAATAATATGTTTTGCATAGCGGTGGAAAAATCTACATCGTATAAAATTAACTCAAATGATAGCTTATGGAATGTACTATAATAAAGTAATATATACTTAATCATA